TTACAAGTAAATTAAACAACAAAATATTTAAGAATAGTAATATTAATAATTGTCATTGATTGAACTGAATATTCAGTCCAATAGGCTCTCGACCGAAGTCCTTTCCCTTTTTAGAATATCTTTCAAATTCAACAATTTTACATGTTTTGTTCCAACGCGGATTTTAATAATAGATTTATAAATTGTTTTTGTTTATTTGAATGTTAAAAGTTCTTAAAACTAACTTTAACATATATTTCCCATGCTGGCGTTTAGTGTTCAAATAATGAGACGATTAAACGAAAAAGGCTTATGAGAGCCAGTTGCCCATTTTTGGTACACATTTGTGCAAGACAACTTTACAAATGTTTCCTTCTTTTTCTCTTGTAGAAGATGGACACACCAGCAGTGGAGCGCACAATGATGGTATTTTTAAAAGCCACGTCATATATTTGATTAGATAATTAACTTGATATAAGTGCCTTCAAGACTTAAGTCGTTAAGCGTTCAAGTTTGGATTTCCCAACCCGGATTCAATTACAGATAATAACATTCTTTTTTATTTTGGAAAAAATATAAAAAATACAATTAATGCAATCTTTCTGCTAAATTTTATAGTATTTTGATAACAGTTCAGAAAAAATAGTAGTAGTCGGTAACTGAACTTTATGAAATCCAAAGTTGAGCACTTAACGTCCTGAGCAATGAAGGTTTATGTCAATGTTAATTATCTAATCAAATATGTAACATTCGCATTTTCTATAATTTATTTTTTAAGACGCCTTCGTTGAGCGCTTCATCACTGTAGGGCATGCAGGAAAGTATTTCCATGTACAAAAAAATAAATGAAAAATTTGTAATTTTGCCTTTCGAAAATAATACTCCTAAATGTGCTACTGTGCTATCATAAATTGGTACTCGATTCGTTTTCAAATGGTGATAAAAGTTGAAAACCGAAAATTAGTGGCTGAAATGTTTTTATTACTTAGTATAATTTCACTAAAATTTGGTATTATAAGTTTACCTAACAGCAAAAAAAAACTGTTAGTTAAATTTTGTCAGTGCCGATTTTAGTAAAATTATATTGAATAAAAAAATTATAACTACACCTTTATATTTACCCATTATTAATTTTTTAATTTTCAACTTAACATCCTGTATTTCAGAATATTTTATCCAAGCATTTTTTATTTTTGTCTATTCGACTCATTTTGAACAATAATCTTCAGTTGTTCATGTCCTATTCTTAATTTGATACCATTAATATAAAAGTGAATAAAAATAAACAGCGTAAAATTCAAGTTTTAATTAACCATCAGCGATCAATCCAAAATCCAACCACAATATAGAAAAAAAAATGTTCCCCTATTATAGTAAAATTCCATCCAATCTTAAATCATTCAATCTTTTTCAAACAAAAACTGGTTTATTTTATTATATTGATTTTTTTGGTATTTTATGTGACCTTCAAATACCCTTTTGTAATAATTTGCAATAGTAAATATTAACTATACAAATACATTACCGAAGACAAGTATAAATGAAAAAGAAGATTTTAAATTATAATTCATACTCAAGCACAGACATGACCTAAAGACCTGACTTGGATATAAGTACAGTGTCGCCATCTACATTCTATATCCATCGTCCTCCAATGATAAGTCCATAAGGTTACCCTACTATATAATCTTCATACAACGCTGTTACTGTACTATGACCACAGCTTATACAATACAGCTCCACACTCCGTGTCGGCGTCTTTGATCTGACGGTCGAGAACCAAGCAAGACGGAATGGTGCTATCTCTGTTAGATTCGAGGGAAAAGTCGGGCCCGGATTAAACAATTTTTTTATTATTGAAAAAATTGAAAACCTTGGCGTAATAAGGTTGGTTACATGCCATATTAAGTAAGTTTTGGGAAATTAAATTTTTAATTTGTTTTAAATCTGTCAAATATAATTAAAAAAATTATTTAAATATAAATATTACGAAAAATAGCACATCTTTCGGATTAGAGGTAAAATAATTTGTATATGGCTAGTAAAATCCTCGTTAACAAATGTTTTGAGCTAAAACACTTCACGACAAATTGTGGCTTGGATCCTTTTTACACCAAGGGCTTCAATTGTTAAAGAATTTTGTCACGCTCGTGGATGCAAATCAAGTGGTTCTCCGTGTGTCTGGCAAGTGATACTCTTCGCGCAAAGGGTTTATACCTAGATAAACGAATGCTTCGACTGAGGTCTGGGAACTCTATGGTATTTTGGAATTATAAAAAATGTGTGCTTTTATTTTAACAATATTGGTTATATTTAGATGTATTCTTATTAATTGAAATACAGATTTGTAGAAGTAATACTTTGACAGTTTTTATTAATATAATATATTCAATTTTTATTTGACCATACCGAAGTAGGGAATTTTGAAACTTTATAGTAATGTGAAATTTGAATTACAATATTACACGAAATTACATAATTAGTACTTATTTTAGGTAGGTACTAAATTTGTACTTGGAGAAAGTAATATCGATTTTTACTAGAATACTTGAAAAGTATATTAATTTAGTTCCTATTTCTGATGTAAAACAAACCAAGAAAACAAATAAATAGTAGTTTGTTCAACAAGGGTGGATATGATAGCCCTATCACACAAAGACGAAGTTTGAGCACGACGTCGTAGGCGGAGTACTCAATCGTCTGATTGTGATATGAACAATCCACTCGATATGGTCAGTATATTTTTTCTACGACCCACTACTATTTTGGTAGCTGACATTACCGAACTTCTTACACAAGCAGAAAAAATATTAATTTAATTTGATCTTATAGCCCTTAAAAAACCCTACAAAATGGCCAGAGTTATAATTATTTACATACCTTCAGGGATTACATTATTTCCATCACTATCAGAAGGCCTCCAAAAAGCCATTTTTTTTAAATCAAAAATCCAAAAGTAAAGTCAATACAACACTGGATAAACAAATACTATCCACCTGTGCTCACTCAACACGGCGATGTCACAGGCAAGCGTGGCGAAGAACCAATTAAAACATAAGAATAGCAAAATCATGTGTCTATTAAAAATATTGGGCCGTTTCTCGCGTCATGTTAGTCTTTTATTTATCTCTCTATTTACTGAGTTTCTGGGGAAACACCAGCATGTATTGGCCATTATGGAAACTCAGTTGGCGCCCTTTCAATTTGTCCACTATTTTAGGAGCGTTTGTAAAGCTATCCACCCCCTGGGTTTCGAAGGATCGAACGCTGACACCGGACCAACCGTAGCTTATCTGATCAAAAAGGCAAACTGTTATTTTTAAATTCTTTTCTTTAAAAAAAAAGGTCCAGTTTTAGACCGTTTTCTCACTGGAAGTAGTGAGTTCACTTTGTAGGTAATAAGTATGTTGGAATGTTAGAAAATTTTAAATGTTTTAAGACTTTATAAAAGATAGATAAATTTCCTTTTTTTTGACAGAGAATAAAAATGTGGCATTTTTGTGCGTAGCAAATCTTTTGTGTAGTTCCCAAACTCTTTATAAATGTTCCTAACTCGCAGCTGTTTTCAATATTTTATATCTTTCGAAAAGGCTTTATTGCGAAACTTCTCAAGTTTTTTTCGGTTTACCAGGGAGCTTGAGGTTTACTAACTTTAAACTTTAACCGTTTATAACGGTACATGAATATCAAATAAATATAAAATGTTTTGCCTAAGAAATTGAATTTTATCATGCCTATTATGTATACAGTGTGTCCCAGATTCGCTTCTCTATACAGCAAAGGTTAAATGGGAAAAGTTTTTGAGGAAACTTAGTGCATTTGATAACCGGCTTTAGATTGGTTATGGAAATATCATCAAAAAACCGAAAATGACGTCTGTAAATCCGAAACAAAGAATTTGACAGCAGAAACTTTTTTTAAATAAATAAGATAGCTTCTATGACATGTCTCAATCGTCTTTTGTTATCCCGCATTCCGCCTCAACTTTAATTTTTTTTATCGCCGCCATATTGGATTTTTGGAAATACCGAAAAATTTCCAGTCTTGTGATGTCTCACAAGTTTTTAAAAGATTTGAGTATCATCGAAATATCACACTTCGTAAAGTTAGGTCCCATTTTTTCTAATAAGGCCATAATTTATTTGTCAGAAAATAGGGTTTTAATTGTGTTTTAATAAGTAATACGTTTTCTCTCATTTAAATCATAAATCTGTCACACAAATTGTCGAAAGATGTGGAAAATGGCCGGTATTCCCTATTCAAATAAGAAAAGTTTGACATATTAGCGCTGTACTTGCAATCACGCAGAAACGCCAATATTTAAATATGTACCCTGCACGACGACAGCCTCATAAAACCCAATTTAGAAAAATCGTAGTTAATTTAATTAACCATGGGGCCTTTGAACAACCTAGAAGCGGATACAATATTGAAAATGAAAATCGCGACAGAAACATTTTATAAGCTGTGAATGAAAACTTTAGTACATCAGTAAGATCTGTAGAACGGGAAATTGGTGTGTCAAAATCAAGGGTACAGAGAGTATTAAATAAAAATGAGTACCATCTATACAAACCCACAATAATTCAGGATCTGATTTTCCAAAACGCATGCGCTTCTGTGAGTGGTAAACTAGGAAGTGTAATGAAAATCCCGATTTTGTAAATCATGTCTTGTGGTCCGATGAGAGTAGGTTAACGAATTGTGAAGTTTTTATTTAGCACAACACTCATCATTGGTGTGGCAACATCATAACACCTCATAGTCTTACCTTTACTTTTGAAAAATGTCGCCGTTCTTTCATCATCAGTTCCGTTTTCAATTATCCTTCAACCTTTCAATTTTCTCTTCAGTTTTTCGCCGTAAATCGCTTCTGGAACCGACAATCAAGAAAAATCCGATTCAACGTCCAATTCGCTTTCCCCAAAATCGTCGCGAACCTCCTCTTCGTCCTCCTTCTCCTGCTTCTTCTTTTCCTTCAATTTTCTCTTCTCTTTTTTGTGTTTGGCTTTTACCTTTTCTTAGAACAGCTGTTTATCGAATTTGTCTTCTATTCGAAGGACTTTTTTGACCCTTTCGATGTCGATGCCGCCCTCGTCTTCGTTTTCGTATTCCATGGCTAGTTCGAATTTTTGATCTATAGTTGTTAGGACGGCTTCGCCTTGGTCGTCGAATACGGTTTTTTGGTTGGGGTCGATTTTCTTTTTTAGAATCTTTTTGGCTGCTGCTGCTTTGCTGATCGGTTTCTTGTTTTTGTTTCTGCCCAGGTCCATGTCAGCGATTTCTTTGGCTGTGGGTAGTTTGCTGTCGAGGTCTCTTCTCTTCACCAATAATATATCATCATTGTCACTATCCTCATGTCTGCATATTTAGTGCAGAATTTTATATTGCATATCTAAAATATTATTGCATATCTTAAATAATAATGTACTATTTTGTAAACATTACAATATTTTTCAATTGTACCTGCATTTTATCATGAAATATTAACCAAGTGGGTATTTTGCTTCCTAAATGGCTTCATAAAATTTATCTGTTTTTGTGTAACAGGAAGTTCATTCAGTATTATTCAAAATTTCGTTTGGTTAAGTATTGTTATTTGTTGTGTTCCTGCAAAAGTGCCGTTAGTGTGAAAGTAAAAGCGTTCATTTTAAAAATACCGAAACAAGCTACGGGAAAAATGCAAATGATTAAGAAATGTATTTATGGAAAAAGTGATTTGAGAATCGTAAACTCTAATTACGTTTTTTGCTCCACCTGCGATAAACTGGTAGGGATAACTAACATTTTTGTTGTATTTTTCACACTATTAACTTTTTCAAAGCCAGTTGAATCCTATTTTAGAAGTAAAAAGAAATAAAATCAAGATATAATATAAGAGCTATACTAATAAATTGTTTATTCGGATTTCATCTAATTTTAAAAAAAAATCAATTCACAAATTGGACAATCTTCTATTTAGACATTTTTAAAACTTATTTAAAAAATATGTTCAAGTTAACTTTGATAACGCATTGAATTCTATAAGAAATGAAATTTACGATAAACCTGTGTAGTTTTCGCTTGATGAATCAACAGATACACAGGGGCGCTATATTGCAAATTTTATAATAGGCGCACTAGATGAAAATACCCCTGGTAAAGGAAATTTAATTTCAGTTAAAGTTTTAGACAAATAATAACGAAATTAAAGATGTCATCTGCGACTTTAACCCAGAAGACTCGATTGCAATTAAATGCATCGATATTTTTAACGTTCCTATAGTTTATAGCCATATTGTTCAAATTCAAGCAAATTATACATGCATAACCACATAGAAAATAATGTTACACAAAAATGTTCATCAGTTTTACTAAATAATAAATAATTTCAGACATTAGAGGGTATAAATAATGTTTTATCTGGCAACTTTAATAATGAATTGGATTCAAATATGTCACTACTTTAAAGTTCAAAATTTAAATATGCACCTATAACGTCTTGTGAAGTGGAATGTTCATTTTCGGCGTACAAACATATTTTAAGTGATAAAAGGCAATGTTTCTATTGAAAACATTGAAAAATATTTAATAACTGTTTTCATTCTAATAATATTAATAATTAATTAGATGTAATTAAGAGAAATGTAAAATCATCTAATCATATGTTTAAAAAGTCTATAATAAAATTTTAATATCAAAAATGACTGTCTTTTTATTTTGCATATTTATAAGCATATTTTGTCTATTGTTAACGCATAAATGCATACATATTTAGACCATTTTTAAATGCATATTTTTCAAGCCCTACTCATCAGACACCTGGAAGAGTCCAGAATCTTTAGCACCATGTAAATTTTTATCTTCACATATCTGTCAGATTCGTTTTTAACATCATCTACACCAACTTTATTCGTTTCTTTGTCATAATTAATATTATCATTGTCATCATCATTATCAAAATACTTTTTACTATTCTGATTACCAGCTTTAACCATATTATTCGATTTTACGGTATTAAATTCCTTTTTTTTTGTTTTTCTAGTCTTGCGTTCATTCTTTGTAAAAATCTAATTCTAGGTGGTATTGCCAATCCTAAATCTTTCGCAAACAAATTAGTATCTAATGATTGCGCGTCGAATATCTCATTGTCTTTCATTAGAACAAGGCTTTGACGTAAGAGACAAACGCTCTTTGAGCTGTATCTTTTAGTGAAGGATCTTTAGCCAAAAACGAGGAGATTCGCGACAATTTTGGGAAAAAACTTTTCCCATTTAACCTTTACTGTATGTTAGTAGGTAAACAAATTTTGTGTGTTTACTCATTGTAATATAATGTAAAGAACATTGGCAGTCAAGAGTGGGGGGTGCGGGAAGTGATGGCGGTAGTAGCAAACCGTCGACTGTACTCTCCCAAGCAGAACGAAATTATGGGTCGCCTTGAGTGCTATAGTGAAATCAGGCTGTTAGTTGATGCTCACGCATTGTTCTATTTGATATAATTATTGAAAATTGTTATTATGTAGGTATAATAGGAGCCGAGACTCTGTATAGAGAAGCGAATCTGGGACACATTGTATATATAATGTCAGATCAGAGAACACACCGAAGATCTTTATCAAAAATATCTACATTGAAATGTCTAAAATCGCTAAAAGTAAACATTTTTTGGAGGTAATATTTTAGCACTATAAAAGAAATATTTCACAATAAGAAAGTCTGGTGATCACTAAAAAGTTCAGTATTGTAATCATCAGTTTTGTGATATTGGGCTACAAAATTTAAGAAAATAGGACCGAGGAGAGTTGCAAAACTATAAGATTATAAAAGTAGTTTGTGCAACAAGAGTGGATATGGACAATCCACTTGAGTTGTACAGTATATTTTTTCTACGAACCACTAATGAAAATCTACAAATTTAAAAAATTATTTTAGGTTAATAAGACAAAATAACTAATTTTAAAATAATTTATACGCAGAAGTTCTGGCATTAGCTCTACGGCCACCTTTACAATTTCAGTTTCATATAAGTTAATAAATTAATTAATAAAATAATTTTTTTCTCAATATGGACCAAATACAAATATAAATGCTATTATTTTTCGATTCTACACAGAAATAGCTCATTTTAATGTATATATAATCTCAATTAAAAAATATACTGACAATTAGTTTGACAGAATTGTCACTTATTTAAAATTTCTAAATTAATTGTAGTTGGATGTCCAAAATATGAACTGTGATTGGTGAATTTAATTTTTTTGCAGTTTTCTCACTACCTACAATGGATATGAAATATATTATTCGTTTAATTGAACACAATAGCATACTTTTCGTTTTGTAGTCTGTGGGGAGATAAGCTAATATCCATGTGGGTGTAGCTTTAGTAAACTTACATTAATATTTCCAAGTATCATGATTTAAACAGGAACGATTAATGATAAAACATTATCAAGATTGCTCTTTCAACGCTGGTGTTGGGAATACGATAAAATACTCCCGAAGCAATTACTCTATTTCCAAGATGAATTTTAACCCAAAGCTTTTCTAAAATTTTATTATCAAAATTAATATATAAATCTGAGATGTCAGTTTGAAGGTGGTATGTAACGAAAACCTGGGCTTATCCTTAAGGTATAGGCAGCATGCAAAGACATAATGTGCTGTAATTTTTTGGTTTAATTTCCAATATCTCAATTGGCTGTTTTTTATCTGAAAAAATATCTTTGAATTAAGTTATTTCATAAGAGTTGTATATCGCGTATATCTTTTACAATATTTCCTTTTTCCTACATCTGTAACTTAATATACTGGGTCTTTAACAATACCGAAACCCCACGTGACCAAATCGTCATGACAGCGATTGGTGAAAATAAAAGTAAAAATCCCCAGTTGTAAGCCAGTGCCGTAGGTATTTTATTAGGAAATAGATCTTCTTTTTTTTATGGTCTGCAACTACGAGAACAAAATTCAGTTAGATAACTGTTAGAATTACAACACACAATCATATTATTAATTGAGGTGCTTTACATTATTGTATTTTAATGTTAGAATTCGATATTTTAATTAAATTTAGTCGAATGCAATATTCTAATTTTTAAAATTATGATTTAATTAACATAACCCTAAAACTGAGCTATTTATATCTAGTTTGTATTTAAAGAAAAGAATAATAAACTGAAATATGATTCGTATTAATCATTGCCTCTATTACAAAAAAAATACCTTTACCAGAACAGGGCGCAAAAAAGTTATGGACAAAAAATGTTATGCATTAAAATTGGAATAAAATTAAAAATTATTTACTTTAGATTAACTCTAAGCTATTTAGCTACAGTTGAAACTTTAAATACGATAGGCAGAAGACAATGGCAGTATTTGACAATAATTACAGTAAACAAATTTAAAACTTACTGGAATTATACCTGGGCAATGGGAAGTAATAAACAAATAATTTTTTAGGATTGTTCTATTATTTATTTGTTACAGGGTTTAAACCAGTTACAAAATACATTATGTAACTTACATGTAAGTATGCAAAAAAAAAATATGAATATTATTAATGTAACAAGCACATATTTGTTTTATCTTACAGCTCTCACTTTAAATTATAAAGGCATACCTAGTAGCAACTATTTTATTTAAAAGGATATTGAGTAGAAATCAGTGATGCACAAACGATATTAATTCACAGTACCTATTTGTTAAAAATCTTTACCACCAGCAGCTTTAATGCAAGCATTAATCGTTATATTTTGAACACATTATGCAGTTTCTCCTTAGTTATATTTTGTATTTCATTTAATATAGGTGCTCCAGTTTATAAACGTCACACAAACGATTTTGAATTGAGCGATTTGTAATATTCCATAGGTAGGTTTAACAAAATTAAGGTAAAATAAATGTTGGAGTACCAAAACGTTATAGGGATGCATTATCAGAAATGTTTTCAATACTTTATGGCTAGTTCGTAGCGACAAACCTAAAAAAAAATATGTTTTGAATTTCACTCGCCAGAGTCAGTCTTTGAAACACCGTTCATACCTGTTTGAGGTGCTGTTTTTTTACTAATTTATTGGGAATTTGCACCATGTTAATTTGCACATCTTCAACGGCTTTTGTTATTCCTGTGGGCCTTTTAGAGCTTTTTCCTTTTTATAATTTTAAACAAGTACCTATTTGCTTATGACCGACAAAAAAGAATCACATTCCATTTATTCACCTGGAAAACGTTCCTCAAATATTGTGATCCATAACTCTTTGGCGTGTATCTAGTTCTCTGCATCAGAAATCTAAAGAATGTTAAATTTTAGGAATGGCGTAACAACTTTTATATGGGAAGTCTGGAATGTCGTTTAGTAGTCATTTTAAGATATAATTGAAACATGTTACAATATTGATGCTGTACAATTAGTATATTTTTTCTTTTAAGACAATATTTATTTTTAACAAAGATGTTTCTGCACTTTTATTTACTCATTCTTTTGTCATTTTTCGTATTCTGCTAATTACTCTGTGACTAGATACATTTTTCTTTTTATTAATTAAGAGTTAATATTTAAAATTATTTGTTGAGCACTCTTATAAATTAATTATGATTTATCTCTTCTTGGCCACTTTCGAAAGTAACTGATTTGGTAGCTATGAAAGAGAACTTTCAATTACTTTAAGATTTTTTAAATAATTTATCAAACATTAACATAAACGAGCTCTAAGCTATAAACAGCTCTATTATGTATTTATTTACTTAACCTCCAAGTCATTCCAATTACTAACTGATTGAACCTAGTGGCGACACCTGACCAAAAATTGGGTGGTTTACAATGAATATAGAATACTGATCTCAGTAAAAAAATTTAGATAAAATACTTTTAGTGTTTTGGAAAGGTACATTATAAACAATGAAAGTTTTTTACCTAAATCTGTACTGAGATGTATATTCTGTTATTGTGAACCCCCAATTTTTTGGTCAGGAGACGCCACTGATTGAACCTCTAAATTATACATTTCTTTAATCTCAAATACTTAAATTGTCTCCATCATTTAAAATAGTTCATTTATTTAAAAACAACCTTTGTACATAGAAAGTATGAATAAACAAACACCTGCAGGGTTATTTTACTAAATTTATAGCCCGGCTAAAAGTTTATAGCCCGGTTACAAGTTGGATTTTGAAGTTAGGAACATATAAAGTTCAAGCCAAAATCCAACTTGTAGCCGGGCTATAAATTTAGTAGAATAACCCTGCTGGAAGTCTACGTGAAAATGACTAACACTTGTTAAACGACCTGAGAAAAACAAATGAGGGTATACCAGAGATAACAGGAGATGTAATAAATATCGTGCTGTCGTGAATAAGACATATTGCAAGGGACGCAGAAGGTTATAAATCCGCTGTTGTCATGCCAATTTCATTATTCTTTTTTTGTTTACAAAATTATTTACATGTCAAAAAAAAGTTAAAATAATTTAAACTATTTTATTGCAACTGAACCTAAAAATTAGTTATATCAAATTTATTTAAATTAGATGTAATTTCACTAAATTATATGTAATAATTTTAAATAAATTCCAAAAACTATTAAGTCGAATAACAAGTATTTTGTGCATGGCTTGCATATTGTACGTTGTTCATTATGAGCGTACAGCGACTTACACATATCGTCCCTGTCCAGGCAAAGTATCATAAGCGACATTTTTTGCGAAACTAGGATTTTGGGGTTGCCCAAATCGTCTTAAGTGAGCTACGTCGACTCAAAAAAATAGAGACTGCTACAAAACATATAAAACCGAAAATTTTTATTTTAAAGTTTACTATACTATACGCCCATAAATCATAAAATATCGCAAGATCGAATAAATTCTGTACTCCAGAGGTAAACTGTACTAAGCACCATTTAGAAAATTTTACAGGAGAGTGGTTTAAAGTTTTACTTGTTACCAAAATGACGATTATTTGTTAATTATTGTTTCGTTTTTCTTAAAAATTGGACCAAATGAACATCTATAAGAAACAAAACGCCAAAAACAAAAATATTTTTTTATATTTATGGTTTTAGTGGAATGTACAGTTTACCTATAAAAAAAATTATAAAAAATTGGAGTTGGTATTAAAAATTTCAGTAGATGTGACTTTTACTTTTAAAAATGCGCAGGAGTTAGTATTTTTTTCTGATCGTTTTGTAAAAAAAACGCATTAAATTTTTATTTTTTTTCATTCTAAGCTTAGGTTTACAAGGTATTGAAACAAAACGAATACAAATTATTAGCTTCTACAACTAGTAAAGTTATAATTTTACTACTTACTGGTAGTTTTGCTTTCAGTAATAAATACTTATCTTCATCATCCGGAATATTATTATTATGAGGAAGATTTTGGTAGAAACAGTGAAACATTTTTGGCACCCACTTTAATAAGTTTTGAAGATGTTTATACTTTTTTTCCCTAATAGGTTTTGGTGCATTTCTAATAACTGGAAAAGCCACAGACTTGCGTATTTTTCAGTTTAAATCCAGGACACTAAAATCTTCTTCCCCAAAAGAAGTCTTGCAGAAAACTTTGCCTGGTTATACAGACCGAACTTGCAAGTGAACCACCTGTGAAATTTTAAATTCTTTCCAGTTTTCGTAAATCTTGTACTGGACAGTCTCACAAGTTGTTGCCAATTTCACGGCGTCATAATCTGGAACTTAATCATCTTTTTTTTGGCACTCTCTATAAGCGAATGATCGCTGTCAACTTCAAGGTGAGTATGCCCTCTTAGCAGATATTTGTGATTCATTACCTTCAAAGTTGGAATTAGTTTTAAAAGTGTGGTGTAAACCAAAATTGCATTAATGTTCCGGTTCTGACACGGACAATTATCGGACCAAATTGTTACTTCTTCAGTGCATTGTTCAATGTTGGTTACCAAATATTTCATCAAACATGAGGCGATTTCATTGCCACCTCTCCCTGCTACACTTTCATCCCACATACAACATGCAGTAATGTTCTTAGTCGTGTCTCTAATTGTAAAATTGAAGGTTCATAGTTTTAAAGAATAAAAACTTTGGGCACTTGTCAAGGCAGGTGTTGGCAAACATTTTTCCAGATCTACCATGAGGCACTTTTTATTTGTGCTACTTTGAGCATATATTTTATCTTTGTTCTTCAGGTCGTACCTTTTTGACGCTTCTTCCAAGTGCTGATCATATTTCTATTGAATTTGTTGCCTTTCTTCCCCAGAAGAATCCTTTAACTTTATTAGAAATTCATCACCTTGTCGCATGTATCATTATCCGGGAGTTTAAAAGAGTAGTTAAATTCATTATTAAATATCTTAGAATACAGCCAAGCTTTAGGTATTTCATTTTTAGGAACATTATTTTTGAACATTTCTTTCTTGTACATTTCGTACATCTTGGAAATTGTTAAATTGCTATCCAGATATTTTTTAGATGAGCGTTCTCTGCTTTAGTGTGATTAAACAGTGGGAAATTTTATTATGTGACTTCTTATGCTCTATTTTATGTGGGCTGATATTTTATTTGGTGGATTTTTCTTGCCACATTGATCTCCTTGCGTCATTCCACCTTCTAGTTTTCTTAACAAAGCTGTTGTAACAAAAGTCTGGGAGATTGATAGCGTATTTAAAAAAAATACTTTGCATACTTAATACTTTCGTTTGAACACTGTTAATGCTAAAAGTGAATTTTCTGTTATACTGTTTTTGGTTTTCGATTTCTCCTTTTTTTAGGACGCCTTCTTTTGATTTCGATTAAATGAACACTGAAAGCCACGAACTGCCTTTTAAGTTCAATTGACTTGAATGGCGACCAAAATGTTTTAAAAATATTTCGTCGTTTTTCCGGCGTTATGTTTAGGGAACATTTAAATCTTCATGCGTCACTACATAAAGGACCCAGGGTCTTGGGGTCTTGGGCTTAATTAAAGTTTTATTTTTGGAATGGTATATCCGTTTCTTTACGTTGCATTTCCAGCTGTCAGGATTCCTCTGACGTTTCCTACTTGGTCTACGAACACTTTGTTCTTCTACTGTACTTACTTCATCATTCAAAATAGGATTTTCTTCAGAATTATCACTGCTTTCATTATCGCTAGTGGCGTTTTTGCTCCCATTACTTTTTGTGTTTTTATAATTCGGATCTATTAGGCTATCATCCGAATTGACTTAGATATCAAAGTTTTTCTCGATAATTAAAATTTCAGTCGATGTTGTCGGAACTTGGTTTCTTTCCTGTTCACTTTTAGATTGCTTGTTGCCATCTCCAGAAGAAAAATGTTCAACGGTAGAAACCTCTTCTGCAAGTAGCTTCTGATTTACTTCGTCTATACCTGCAACAAAAAAATTCCATCTTTTAAAAAACCCTACAAATTGAATCAGTACTTCAAGATCACTTTTAAAGCACAAATATTTTAATTATATACTATAACTCGGTAAAAAGTTTTCACCATTTTAAATTTTCAGGGTTTAAAGCAAAAATTATAATCAGCGACCTTATAAACACCCCAAATTTCAAGTTTAAAACAAACCGGTTTATGAATGAAATATTCCGCCATTTTAAATCCGCCACTTACTTTGAAAATCGGACACATGACTAACGAGAGATTGTGGGCTCCCAACCAAAATGCTGGTATCATCATAATCTTTCGGCAAACTTACTCCAAAATAGACATCTGAAGATTCTAAAATTAAACAAAATACTGTTACGTATAAAAGAAATATCCTCGTAGGAGGGACAATACTACTTAGAATACTGCCAAAACAGCTCTTTTTACACAGTTTTAAAAAACCACCAAACAATATAAGAAGTGAGTAATGGGAATTTTCTTTTAAAAAAAGTTGTCATGATAGTCATGATTACAAAAAACAACATTTATTCAAGGCTCTTAATGGTGGTTTTAACCACTAAAGAAAGTTATGATTATAATAAGACAAAAACCAGAACAGAGCACTGTTTATTACCTACTTGAATTACCGGACCTTCTGTGAAATGAATTTAGCGTACTGTGACCTAACAGATATTTTTTGCTGGACTAATATTATGGTAAATTATTTATGGGCTGACATAATATTGTGAAATGATATATTTTAAATATTTACAGAAAATAGCTACTAAAAATAAAAAAGTTTAAAATTACTTATTTTGTACCAAGTCGTCACCTTCCCTTGGTTGAACTAGCGCCTCCGCCTTTAAGTTGGCAAAAATTTTCGCAGTTCTAGAGCTCATTTTTTAGCATACGGTCTCATCACAAAAATCGGTAGAAGACTAAGCTAACAATACGGGAAAACAGAGAATTTCCTGTTCTGACGTGTCGGGCTGTTTTGATGAAGATAGTATCTTGAGTTTTGACGTGCGATGGAGTTATCTTGAGTTTTATACCAAGTCTACTTTTAATGGAGATAGTACAGCAGCCCAAAAATACTACCTCCGTTTAATATAGTTTACCTCTCAATGACTTTGTGACTTAGTACAGTTTACCTTTGGTTTTTTCGTTACTCTGTCTAGATTTGACTTCAAAATATTTTTTCTGATTCCTCGTAAAAAGTTATGTAAGTATCACTAAAAATCCGATTTTCGTAAAAACTGGAGATAGTACAGTTTACCTCTGGGGTACAGAATTACGAATATAAAATAATTTTGTTCCTGTGTAACATTACCTAAAATAAATTATATACAGTCATTAACTTTTACAAGTTACAGTAAATTTGTACTTACCTACAAAAAAGAATTAGGCCAACACAAATCTCTAAAAATAACTAATTGCTAAATTAATATTAAATAAAAAATGGAATAAAGGTGTTTATAAAATGTAAACAAATATAATATAAATATTGTCAGTCCCCAAATGAACGCCAGTGACATTTCTGACAGGACTGATAGTTCAGTTTAGTTCCTTTTATGTCAAATCAGGCCCTTTCGATGGGTTTTTGATGGTTATCATGTGGGTTTCGGGTATTGTGGAAGACCTGGTATAAGTCCATACAGGCTTTCATGAGGTCATCAATATCAATGTTGAGAAACTCATGCAGAAGGCAGCATATTAAATAGCACTCAGATAATAAGGTAAATCTTTCATTTATCGAAGAGATCGCGTGATCAAGAAATACAAAATATTGCTGGGAAGAATTTGAAACTGGTTCATAACTGCCCCCGTAATCAAATAAACAAACTTTTTTCCCAAGCTCCGATATGGGAAATTGAGAATTAATACATAAATGTCTAGCAAGTGTTGTTGCTGAATAGAAAAATATTCCGCAATGTTTAATTTAGGATTTTGAATCATTTTACTTAATGCATAAACTCTTGATAACTAAAATTGAACGCAAAAGTTTCAATACTTTTAATTATAGATTTAGCACACATTTTTGTTTTACTGTTTTTGATGGTATTTAATGTGGTAATTATGTTTTTAGATCTTATTTTAGAAATCTAATAGCATTGATAAAACTTTCCCATCTTGTTTCACTTAACGGTTTTAAAGTTAGATATTTCAAGTGTTTTTTTTTAGTAAATTCTATCGATATGGGGACGCAAAAACGTAATAATATACCTCTTATACCATATCAAAAAAAAAAAAACATAAATTTTACCACTGGAGCTCTGGCAGCGTCATTAAAGATGAGATTTAATGTTTGAGCCGCATACGGCACGTATAATGCTTTAGGATTGAATTTGAGAATCCGTTTCTGAAGCACTACATTTTTCCGATCCATTGTCGTAGCCCTGACACCTTATATCTTTGATTTCAAGCTGCAGACTAGGTAATAGCTTCTCTAATAAAAAATTGCACCGACCTTCTCCAATGACATTAGTTAGGTACTGAAAAAAATATAAAATATCTACCTTACCATCAGTAGGGTTCACAAAGCTATTTACAAACATTATTTGTTCTGTAAGACTAATATCTAGTCAAGAATTATAGTGTAATAATTGGCTTTTTTAACAATTAGTGTTATCTCATTACGAATAGATTCGACTAAAATATTAATTATATTTTAAAAATGCTGTCTCAAGTAGGGTGTGATAGTTGTTTTGTTATCTCTGTATTTGCTAATATTATTAAGGTGTTCTGAAATAACTGGATCAAATTTTGTCAACATCTCCACTTCCTTTAAAAAATTACTATTATGAAAATTGTAATTTAATATCGAGAAATCGCAATCGAAATCCGAAAAATCAGTATATCTGAAAAATAAATGGTTGAAATAATTTGAAAATTCGGAAACCAATCTCTCTACGAATTATAAATACCATCCCCGAACCCCAAAATTGAAAACAAATACTTGGAGGTTTGAAAAAAAGCCTGTGATAGCCGTGATTCGAAACCAGACATCTTTTTTTCTGTACACAAATGCCCTACCTCTAGAGTCTGGAGCATAATGACATTGACTGTCGAGATTCCTAGACGGTAGTTTGATGTGCTAATTCAGGACAAGCGCCATTTTAGGCTTGTTCTCAAATCTTCTAATATATAGTTATAACTTGATAACTAATTTTTTAATTTATATCGAATATTTAGCAAGATATAACCCTTCGTCCCGTCACTGGTTTTGTGTTCTCAAATAATTGTTTAGATTTTATATTTACAATAGCTTCCCATGTATGTTGTCGTACGTTTTGTCCTTGAGTCAGAGTGGGTAGTAGTGAATAACACAAATTGACATGATCACGTTTTTATCCCGCAAGTGGGTCCACTTTAGATTCGGACTTTCTCAAGTAAATAAATAAATAAATAGGCAGATTCCAGAAGCAATGCCACTTAGGAATCTTGCCTTTCTTATAGATAGCCAGTTAAATTCTCATTCAGCTACCGCACACGTAACAATTTGACATTTTGTAAAAGCTAAAAGAATATTTACAAAACAAAATTTATGAAACTGAACATTAACTAAGAACATTTCAGGAACATTCTTTCAACAGTAATAAATACAAAGTGGGCGCACTATTACAGAACTGTTTGGTTCATTTGTAAATTGTATAAGGCTTGCTGAATGCACTCTTATATAAATTTTAAATTTTATAAAACCAAATCACTAAAATTTTAATTTTCTAAATCTGGTGAATACAAATTAATTCTAGATTTGTCATAAAATATCAATTCAAGGTATCACCTTGTATACTATAAAACCCTGTATAACCACTTCACAAAACACGTGTTAACATCGTTTTATGTTTTATTAAATATTTCTTAAATAATGTTTAAAATCTAATTAAAATAGAGACACAGTTTTATGTGTGTGTATAACCAAAGAGTTGTAAAAGTGATTCAAAGCCACAACATAGAATCACTATAAAGCATTTTAATGTTATTAGCTGAAATGTTGCATAGAATAGTTGCATAAATGTTAATGTAACAATTTTATAGTTATTGTGAAAATATTTTATAATTTTGTAGTAAGAATATTGTAAAAATTAATTTACATGAAAAGTTAGTTTCAGAGAACAATATAGTGATTCCTGCAATTTTAGTAAAACAAATTAGCATTCCAGAAACAGCAATATAATAATAAAATATATAAAGCTACTTTGCTAGTTTGGCGTTCTCCAATTTTTCTAAAAAAAATTTAATGCATCAATTTTTTCTTCCAACTAAATGAATAGATATACAGTTAAAATAATCTGACAGAAGGCGCGAATGCTTTTTGTATGAATACTTCATTAATTTATCATTCAAATATCGTTCTCCAAACTCTAAAAAAATGTCAAAGCTTTAACCTTTTCTTGCAAATAGATGAATATATACAAATGCCACAATTTGGTTGGAAACGTGAGTGCCTATAGATAAAGAGAACGTTAATTACTTATTCAACTATCGTCCTCCAAACTTTATAAAACATTATCAAAGCACCACTGGTCGAGTTGCTGAAGTAATAAAAATTGTCAACTTCAATGAACAGTTAGGGAATTTCTCCCGGAATATTAAAGTTTCTGAAAGATCTGCAGAAAAGTTGTGTGAACAAATCTGCCAATATTTATAAAACTAATGTTTAAAAATTCATTTATTGAACAATCTAGAAAATATTTAATAACGCATTAATCATGTTACGA